TAGACATAACGCATTTGTTGGTAAGTACCTGTGTCTAAGAAGAAATGAGAACTCTGGGCTACTGCGATCATCCGAGAAGATATGCCTCTCTGGTGGCCAGAATGTCCGTGTTGAAGAGATGGATGTGAATACCTATTACCCATGCCCATGTAAGAAATAGAAACCTGAAGTCTCCTGTAAAGTTCAGTTCGATTTAGCTGCCTCCTACGCACGTCACATGGAACCTAGGGGGGTGTCCACCCGCGTACGCGGTAGTTCAGGTTCCAATGTAACCTACATCTGTTAGCGTCCATTCTTAGCCTGCTATGCCTGGGCAGGGAAACCAGAAAATTTGAGACCTAAGCTTGGAATACAGAAGTTGATAGCCCAAGAGCGGGTCTGATAAAATGGCATGAAATAACCAAATTGTTTGATCTCTTGGGCAAGTATCAATACAGTATCAAGGTTTCTGCGACCTGCAAGTCAGGCGACTTACAGGTGACCTACTAGGGAGGTACCTAGCACTAGGAGCCCGCCAGCCCATCAAGCTCTAAACTAGACTGAGGCAGGTGCTCTGAATGGTGCCTTCCTAAGAAAAGACTTGAGCCCAGCAGGCTGGGGAAAGAACAGACCAGTCAACAACCACAAATCAACATATCTTTCTCCTCCATACCTGCATTGCTTTCCTCCCTCACAGTTGTGGCTTTTGCATGCCCCTGGCCTTCATATAGCACCCCATTGCACCTCGGACGCACTGCCTGCTTCGTCTGCCGAAGGGACTATCGACTCAACCACAAGACAGCTTATCCTTATAGCGTGCAAAACCTTTGGTGACAGGCATCCCTCACCTCAACCTACCTCCACCGAACAGATAAACGTGCTGGGCAATAAGTCGCTAAAAACACAGACCCCTGGTTTTTCTTTTGACGCAGAGGCTCTGATACATTCCGTCAACAGGGCTCATTCTGGCCTGGACCGGTCAGCGACCCAGCGGCCTCTCCGGAAGGTACCTGCCCGTCTTTCGCCGCCATCTAGGTACCTTGGCCAACTAAGCCGACCGAACTCCTTTTCAATTACTCCCGGCCCCCTCGTCACAAAGCCAACAATTCCGATCTATAATCACTTTGCCTACCTTTGTTACTGAATTTGCGGCTACGTACCGGAGTTTTGATCTGTTCTTCTTTCTTCCGAGATTTTCTCAATATTGTTTCCCTAGTATCGTCATCGACTCCGAAACTAATCGGCATCAAGTGTAAAGGCCTTTGCAGAGTCTTGGTACCTTGACTTCTACAAGACACGCCTTCACTGTCTGTCAACCTCCGACGTCGCCGTCCGCCGCCGCTATTGAAGTTTCCATATACCCCGGCCCGACGATTCAGCAGACCGAGCTGTACCCATGAACTCCAGCTGCAAGCATTCGATATCTTCAGCCATTATCATCAGTCCCTCCACCGGCTCTCCACCGTCTTTTTCTTTGGTTCACTAGCAGGTACAGACTTTTTTTTCACCTTGGGACCCTCAAAATTTTCTTACATCTGTGGCCAATTCTTCTTCTTTTCATATTCCTAATTGCTCAGCGCGCAGACTTTCTCCAATCTTAAGAACCTCGAGCTGCAGATGTAATGAAAGAGCCCCGAACGCGTTGTTACACTTACATAGCACCTATTCGAACGGCGCTCTTAATTTAGCTTACAGCTGCAACTAAAAGCTCGCGCTCAGTTAAGCTTTCGTTGCAACACCACTCGAGTTTCACACAGCAAAGCAGTTTCGCTTCACCAGTACAAGGTCCACTGTTATTCACTTTCGCCGCTTTTTCACACACAAGAAGCCAACTTTTGCGTCACGAGCTTACGAGTCACGAGCCATCCCGAAGCTCTTTTTTTGCAACAGTGTTTCGCTCGGAAGGAATCAACAATTACTAACCCACGCCAAGGGAAACAAAACAAGCATAGAGAACTGTATAACCTGGACTTTTGTGAACACCTAAACTGCGTCAGCTGCTGCATTCCTCATCTCGGTGTTGGTGTTGCCTGAATCCAAGCCCGTCTGAACTTATTCGACTCATTCACAACCACAAACTATCTGAGATCACTTTCAAATCTTGAGGTAGCTGCATTGAAGCTTTATGTCAGTTGCAGTTGGAAGAAAACAAAGAGGAACGATTTTATCGACCACCGAGTTACATTGTGCGCCCACAATCACTCAAAAGCATCAAAACTCATCCGCACACGGGTCACTCGCCTATCATTTTGTTTAAACGATCATGCTTCGCTTGTAGCCGTCAACAAACACCTTTGCACCAAGGAACCATCAGGGGTACTTGCAGACCAAATCAGATCACCAAGTTTGCATCCCGTCGCCGCAGAAGTTATCCATGACAGCCTGGTCCTACCATTTATTACAATTTCAATCATGGATCCAAGCATGCCGATGATGTTGCCAAAAGGCATTGTCACCAACTCGGAAAACATCTATAAGGAGGTTGCTGACTTCCCAATTGTTCCCCCTGACAAAGTTTGGAAGTATTGGCATGGTAAACCCATTGATCTTTCCGCACGTCTTTTCACACGGCTCATATTTGCTTAGTGTACACTACCACATATAAAAAGCTTCAGGATCCGACAGCATGTCGGCTCGAAAACTTTTGGTGGCATGTCTGGGGAAGTGATCGCAGGTTTCTTAAGGGCAGTGCCCTCGCCAAACTTTACGAAGAGATCTCCAACGGGCCAACATTTGTACCCCTCAAGGGACCACCAAACCGATGGGAGGGACCCGATGTATGTAGCATTGAGGCTTTTGGCCGAGGACTCCTCTCACCAACTGACACCGTGTAGATGCACCCCCTGATCAAGCAAATTCTGGAAGCCGCCGAAGCTCAGGCAACCCCACCTCTACCACAACCTCCAGGGTCCCACTCATCAAGACCTACCGACTCAGCGTTGAGAACCCTATCTTCGAGTGCCTCAAAACCGCCACCCACCCACCCGATCTTGAAAAAAGCCCGGGGTCCGTCGGCATCAGGACCACGGCCGACGGCTCGCTTTGTGTCACCACACGAATCTGCAGATGAAGATGAGATCCCGTCGTCGGGAAGCACAGCCGCGACAGCGTCTGAGGCGCCCGTGTATGTAACAGCTTCACCGAAGAAGAAAACGACTACAATACCTCCCCAAAAGCTCACTTCCTTATCACCTGTCGCCAATAAGAAAATGTCATCATCAAAGAAGCCGACTCCAACTGCAGAACCCCTTATTCGAGAAACTGGGTTTGGGACATCCGGCGGGTCGCGAAATGCCGTGCAGCAGTCTGCACCACCCAATACCCGCACAACCGTGGAACGTGACCAACCAACGAGTGTCCAGAGCAATGGTGTGGTGAAGGAACGCCCTTTAATGAGCGAAAAGGCACGTGGTAAACAACCAGCTGCACCTCTTCGGCCGGCATCACACAGGAAAGAAGCAGGAAAGGATGTGATAGCAGAGGAAAACCAGCAGACGTCGCCCTTGAAAGATCGCCCTTGTAGCATTCATCGCGAGAAAGGTGTACTCCCACAAGCTCGTTCACTTATAAATCTTTCGAACCATGGATCACGTAGAGGATCCAGGGGCTCTTCAATATCGACATTCGGCGTGGGATCTCTGGAGAGTAGCCAGAGCCAGGACTCGTCTGCCATGTCTCGGTCTCAGTCCCATGGCGGATACGACCAACACAAGCCGCAAAATGGCATCAGAGCGCCGGGTCTCTTTACAGAGGCCACCTCATCAACATCTAACGTTGCTGTCACAGGCACTATTCTCGATCAATCCGGATTTGGGTCTACATCAGACTTGAATAACATCGATCATGGACGACCCGAGCACCACACTATTTCTGCTGTGCCACCTCGGCCGTCTATTCTTGATGCTCGTTTCACCCCAACGCCGCCGACCACATCGGCAAGTGTGCCGTTAGGACGCACAAAAAGCCAGCTGACACTTCTCCTCGAACGCGAAAAGGCACGAGGCAGCGACAGACCGCGGTCAAAAAACTAAACATCTCCACTTCATTCTAAAATCACTATTTGTTGCTGCATATACTCGTGTTGAGGATTATGCATGCCATTTTCAACCAAATTCCGGCGTTCCTCTAGCGGGAATTACCGCTCTTTATACTGACCCGGAGTGCATGGCCATGGAGTTGTTGATGGGTGCATAGAAGTATGTATGGTCTTCAGTCTTATCTTATAGGTTGCCCATTTGCACTTAGTAACAAATGGCTCTGGTGCCAAGAATTGAAAGCTGCATGGTTGGTTCTTCCTAGATATATGATCGGTTCAGGAGTAAGGCGTTGACGGTGTAGCTGACTCGAATATGAGTAGCTTCAAGCGGACAGACTCAGAGGGAAAAGGAAGTGGGACGGGTTGGGTTGATACCATTATAGAACCAAAAGCAAGGCACCGCAACAGCATGCCCAAGTCACTATCGAAACACAAAAAGCCTATAAATAAAGTTAAGGACATATTCATCGTGGCCTGTGCCTTCAACTAAGTGCACAGATGGCTGTTTTGAACTCTAATAATAATAATGAGGTGCTGTGTATAAGTCTGTAAAAAATCTCAAAAGTCATAAAATCTGTGACACAAGTTCGATGCTGAAAAATATTGCTTAACATGGTATCTAATGTTACAGTTAGGAAACTGAAGGGTAAGATAAATAGCTACTATATATTATGATTGATAGGCTTTTGGTCCTGAGCGTGCATCTTGGGTGTTATCCAACCGATTAACCATCCATCAGTCCGTCCATCCGTCCGTCCATCCAATGTGATCCGTCAGTTTATGCATTAATCCAAGAATTTCGATGGCGCGTTATCGAGAACAAAGAGAAATGCACTGCTCTTTTTGAAACAGAGAAGCGCTGGAGCGAGTGTATGAGGGTAAAGAGCTAGGGACTAATTGTGTCGATAAATAGATGTTAAGTTATAACAGTTGTTGATATTATGAAGAGCGTGCGGTGAAGAGCACAATGCACGAAGAATATAGCTCACTCGTCAAGCTTGAACATTCTTCGTAGTGCTCCAAACTTCTTCTTCTTTGGCGTGCCGACCTCTGAACCATCAGTCGACATGGCATGGGAGCGCATTTGACTATGAGAAGTACTGCGACGCTTGAGGAAGCCTGTTTTGTTTGTCGGAGAAGATGGAGATGAGCCAAGACCGCCAGCAGTAGATGGCCTTTTCTCCTCATCGACGACGTATGTGTTCTGGGAGCCTTCATCAAAATGGTCCTCCTCTTCGTGAGCGTGCTCATGGTCTTTGAGAGGCCAATTCGCCCCACGTTTCTGCAGGCGTGAGTTATGGGCAGCTCCTTCACTGTTGCTTCGAATAACAGCAAGACGCTCCGGGGCACGCTCCAGATGGGTATCCTTGCGGGATGCGCTCTCACTTTTGTTGCGAGAAACCTTATCAGAGGGGTCCCTTTTGCGCCGCAGAATTGACGACATAAAGCTGCCTCGTCGCTTGTGGCCTGGCCGTTCCCCTGTTTTCTCGATAATTTCATTCTGGACGCCGAAATTGCCTCGCCCTGAGCCGTTGCGGTTCAATACTGGAGCAGATCGAGAAGCTGCACCATTGGAAGTAATTCTCTGCTGTGTTTGCTCTTCTTCGTCGTCGTCACTGTCTGGTAGGTCAGGGGAATCTTGAATACCAGCACGAGAAGGAGGGGCTTTCATGGCGGCAGCGGCGGCATCATTTGAAGTCGAGTCTCGCAGTGTTTTCGGTACACGCTTTTGCTTGGGCATGGGCGAAGGAACGTCCTCGTCACTGGAATCGGCAAAACGACTACGGAAAGATGGGCGCGTCTCATCTTCGTCGCTTGAATCTTCGAAACGACTCCCGCCTTTTGATTTCTTAGCTTTGGCTGAACGGCCAAATCCAGAAAGACGCTTGCGAGAAGACTCAGCTTCAGACGATTCGGAGCGCAGGGATTGTCGCATACGACCACCCATCGCAACAGGCGGAGGTGAACTTGTGTTAGAGTTGCGTCGGAACCCGGTAGGAGATAGCGACCGAAGGCTGAATCGACTACTTCCACGGGGAATTTCTTGAGCTGGTGATGCCGCTGGCGCTGGTTCTCGAACGCTTCCTCTCATCGTCTTACGGAAGCCAAGACCTTCCCCACCTCCCATCTTTGCACGTCGGAAACTGCTTTCGCTGGAGTCAGATCCTCGGCGTGTCGGGGCTGGATTCGTGGCACCTCGCATAGTAGGTCCCCTGTCTTCAGAATGTGTGCGACGTTTGGTTTTAACCGTCTCGGATGCGGTTGCTGGTTGATAAGATGTAGGCCGAGCACCCTTTGGAGTTGGGGACATGTTGTGTCCATTAGCCGTAGAGCCGTTTGCTCTAAGCGATTTACGCATCCCAGTGTTCGGAGTGGTACTAGCCTCAGGCTCTTGACGAAGAGACTTGCGTAGATGGCCGTCGTGCGAATGCTGCGGGCTCGAGGGAGCAGCGCCAGATCTCATAGATTTACGCATGCTGCCATCCTGAGCTGGTCTTGAACTATCGACTGCTGGGGCCGCAGAACCTCGCATAGACTTGCGGAGCTTGCCTCCCCCGTTTGGTGTTGCGTTGTTGGAAGTGGAAGTATGTTCCCGACGCTTTTCAACATCATCGCGGGGCCAGCTCGTGCCTGGTTGAATTTGATAGATTCGTTTCGTATCGCGATGCTTTTCTGGAACTTCGGCTTCTTCCACGGGTTCTCGGACTGGTTCCTTCACACCCTTTGCCTTGGTGTGACTTGTAGTCTTGTGCTTTGGTCGACGCACTGTTTCTTCTGGGATGGGTTCTTCGTCAGAATCCTCCATAGCCTCTTTTTCAAGCTGGCGTCTACCCTCCGGGCTTAGACTCCTCCAATACGCCTTTGCAGTCTGCCAGTCACTGGGTGACTGAAGAGGCAACTGAGGGGTGCTTTTTACAGGCGTAGACTGCCGAGACTTGTCGGCCTCTTGAGATTTGGCCATTGCCCTTTCTAATACCTTTTGGGGAACAGTGGGCTCAACGGGGCTATCCACAACTGCATCGAGCGATAAGAAGCCGTCACCCTCCATATCGGACAGGTCCTCATAAGCGTCACTGTAGATGCTGCTCCCATCGGATTCTTCTGACTCTTCTTGGATATCATGCATCTGGGAGTTTGAGGATACTGCACTGTTTGACTCGAAGGATCGTCGAGTCGCAATTTGTGCCGGCTCTTTACTCTCATCGGATATTCCCTTCTTGTTGTTACTAGCGTCAGTTTCTGCAGGAAAATCTCCAGGGACATCAAAGAAGTCTGAAGGCGAGTCTGACTGGTTTTCATCTGGGATACGCGGACTAGGATGTATGATTGAAATCGTCGGTATGTTGTCACTGGGACTAGATTTTGCCGAACCACTCTCAACTCCGCCAGTTGTATCACTGACTGTGGTTTGTGTTTCAAGCCCGTGGCCTGTGGATGTCTGAGTCTCTAAGTTTCCGATGTCTGATTCAATATCGGATTCCAAGTCGCTGTTACTAATATATCCCTGGCCGTCAACAGAGGTGACTACAGGAGGCAGTGGCTCTCGGTATCTGGAGGTGTTGGCTTCATTGCGAGAGGCTTCTTCTTGTGACAAGATAGAGCCAATAGCATGATCACTGGACTGAGCCAAATCCTGTGTAGTTGACTGATCAGCCGCAGGGTATGAAGATGAAGCAACTGGTGGTGATGCTGATCTGTCCGTGGGCCGAACCAGGGGTCGTTCCTCGGGTTCTCTGACCTTCTTCTCACGAACACTTCCAAAAGAAGGGAGAGCAGGACGGGGGGTCATTGTTTCGTCTTCGTCCAAAGTTATCGAGTCTCTCTTATTCCGTCCGATGATGCTGTGCCAAGGCTTCTTAGACTGAGGACTGGCTAACCGTGGCGAATCCGTATCAGATGCCGGCGTAGCCTCGCCCATAATTGCTGTGTTTCCATCATCAAAACTAACCCGCACACTTTTCTTTCGTGAAATATCTGAATCTTCTCGAGTCATGCCTGACCATGCAACGGATGCGTCTGAGCCATCTTCTGAAGGAGACGCGTCACGAGGGCTTGAATATTTGAGAGCAGATTTTCGAGGTGACAATGATCGTGGAGGTGGCTCGTGCCTGACGAGTAGTTGATCGGCTTTGGGCGCAAAGTGTGTTGTGCGACCGGGACTACGGGCAGGGCTTTCAGAGTGTACACGAGTGCGACGCACGCTTTCGTTGTGATGATCCACCAGAACCGATGGCTGCGTTTGGGGCGGAGTAGTAGACTTGACAGGTATCGCATCGACTTCATCCACTGGGCGTTCCTGGGACATAGTCGTCGTGACCGGCTCGTATTCCTCCTCCCGTTCACGATCTTCATGTACGATTGACGGGCGCTTCCTAACGGAGGTTTCAGACTTGTTAATTCGAGGTGGGCTTGCAACAATGTGATTTGTTTGCCTTGACGCTTCATCGTCTGACTCTAGATCCGACTCGTTCATCATTTGCTCCTCAAGCACGCTGGGCCTTGCTACAGACTTTACCCCACGCTCGACATCTGGTTCGAACTCAAGATCCGGTTCTGGCGCGGGCTCCGGCTCAGACTTGACTGGGATGACCTCTTTGGCCTGTCCAGGTTGTGTAACGGCCGCATGAACGACTGGCGGACTTTGTACGTGTTTGGACGTTTTAAGTGGCGGAGACGCTGGTTCGACTGCTGTACCCTTTAACCGTCCTAATGTCCCCTTGGAAAGATGGGTGCCAGCCCTGGAGCTTTCATGCTTCTGTTTGCGGACAGGTTTCTCGGATGCATCTCGGATATTTTGTTCTTGCATCAGCAACTGCACCTGAGGAACCATCCGCCTTGAATTGGGATCGTACACCATTTCGTTGTTTGATTGACTGGGTGAGTCAGTCATAGAACGGGGATAGGAGAAGTTGATGGAGCTTGGACTGGTGGGACGTAAATCTACTGACGCTCTCTTATCAACCACGGTGGCTCGTCGCATATTGGACATATCCCCAGCTGCAGCTGCTCCAAACCATGTGCCTTGACCGTTTTTCATCTTTTGGCTGGCTGTTTGAAAAGACTGCGTCTGTAAACTTGTTGCCCGTTTGCGGGTTGGGTTCTTTGCATCGGATTTGGCTTGCTCATTTTGAGGAATCTTGGGGACCGGAGGAACATCATTGGACTGTGGAGCAGGGTTCCTAGCTGGCGATGGCGAAGGAGATCGAAAGGTCCGCTCTGTCATGGAATTCGCACTCGGCGATCGATGAAGATCCCGACTCCGCCTATCCCGGCTGCCGGAAGACGATACAGATGCGCTCCTGCGCGAAACTCGCTTCGATTGGACCTGAGAGACATTTGTTGGTGTTGTAGGTCGAGCTTTGAGAGCGGCTGCGGCTGCTGCTGATGACAAAGATGGCGTTGTTTCCCGTCGCATAAAGGCCGATGCGGCGGCGGTCGCAGCGTTGGGATTGGCGGTCTCCCTTGTCAACGGCTGCGATGATATCGCCATGTTAGTGGTGCAAAGATGATTGCAAAGTCGATGAAAAAAGAAAAGAGAAGATAAGAAGACAAGGAGAGAAAAGTCGCGAGAAGAGTTGAAGGCTGATGATAATACAATGGCCAAGGACGAATGCGGCAAGGCTCACAATACTAAATGCCTTTGACGATCATGGCAGGTGCCGTGGCGCTCGAAACTCAAAAAAGCCAAAACCGGTTTTGCAGAAACGGACGGGAATATGAGTATTAAAGCAAATTACAGATAGACTCACCAGAGAGGGAGTGCGATGCCTCCTTGAACCAAACATGATGGGCTGGCTGGATTAGGGTGGGCTAGATCGAAAGCGGCGCGAGGCCAGCAAAGCTCAATAGGCGGCTTGCATTCAGGAAGGGCCGCGGATCTTCGGGAGAAAGTCAACAATGACGCTGAGATGTGAGTCAAGTTATCCGCTCACATTAAGATGCTATTATGTTGTGTTGGGAATACGTCAGGTTGAATGATTGAATGAGACAGAAATTAGGGCTGCAAAAGTAGTTTGAAGAAGAAGAGGGAGGTTCCATGCTAGTTTAAGAGACGATGACGACAAGTATCGAGCCACTGCGCACCAGCAACGCTAGCCTCAATTAGAGACCCACTGAGCTTTGCTCCGATTGATCTAGCTCCATTGCCAGGTCAGGTCTCAGGGCCAGGGGCGCGCATCGCATCACATAAGTAGCATCGCATCGCATAACAGAGGAAGGGAAGGGCTTAATAAAAGGGTCCAATAAAAAGGTTTGGCATGGATGTGACATTTGTCCAGCCATTGGGAACAATGATACTGTCATGTCCTCCCAGCTCATGGCACGTTGGCATAAACACGTGGTTGTTATTGTACAGAGCAGAGTCTTTGAAGCACCTCCTTATCCTTGATGTACACTGTGCAATGGGTACGTATCATGTAACTAACTTTCCTGTTTCTTGTGCCTTGACAATCTCAGCTGCAGCAGGAAAACAACCCGGCTACTGCACAGATCTTTCAAAAGATCACTAATCTACTCCATTCGTAGATCAGTTCCTCATCAGGTCCAGTTCGGCAGGCCTCAAGATTGCAGCTGCCGAGATCTACAAGATTTTCTCGGCGGAATAAACATAAACAATCTGGGGGCCTTGGGTTGCGTTGCGTTGCGTTGCGAGGAGTGAGGGTGGATCGCCCACACGCATGCACGCACCAGTTCGTCGCCGAAAAGCTTGGCCCCATGTATATATATAACTCTATCTGTGTATAGAAACATCTCCGAATTAGTACCTATTGAGACAGGAAGACGTTGCAATAAGGACAATGAAACTTTGAATACTGTCAGATTGTCATCCGTACATACCTGTCACTACCCTAATAAACTAACTTAAGGGTTCATGATTCTCAGCTGCATCTAAATCATAGTCCCCGCCACATGGTTAGATCCATCCATATCCACCAAGGGTAAACTCCAACTGAATTAATAAGGGGCCCTCTGACGTCAATATACAACTAGATCGTTTCATCTGTATTTGGTTTTGTTCACTTCATGCGATTCAGGACTCTCTAGACAACTGCACATATAGCATATCAAAAGGACGAGACAAAGCAACTGGCTAACAAAGAGTGGTCATAAAAGTATTTACTAGTACAGCTTTGCCAATACACACTGCGGCTATTCTTGACACTGAAAGTGTACTTATACTATCCATGGTGGCACATCCTACCACATTCCTACACCTGATAAACCGTAGTTGCTCTCAGTTACTGAGCCATCTCCCCACCGAGTGGCTCAGTCTTCAGTAAGCCGATACTTCCCCTGATCAAGTAAGAAGCAAGTGACTCGTAAGTCGTTAGGGTATTTCTGCAATGTCCAAGACCAATAACAAGAAACAAAGCCATTGGAGTTGCGGAACCCTTAGATTCAACGAAAACGTTCCGCATTGCACCAAGCCAACTGAAAGATGGCACCTCGTTTGTCCGTATCTTCTTGGTTGATCGATAACGAATGCACTTTCCTCAGATTGACAAGAGGAATGTGGTCGCTGAAGCAGTGCAATCCCCTGCATCATGTTCAAAGCTTATGGTGGTGGACCATCTGCTTTTATGTCGGGCCCCGTCCGTTCTCCAGGAGAATCGGGATAGTCCTCACCCTCTTCTGACTGGGTCGAGTGATGGTGGTTCGTGTCCATATGGCCGGCTGGTTCCTGACCTGGCGGTTGAGTAACAGAATGCTCTCCCCTGGACGACGCCTTGCCACTCTTTTTACCTTTCCTGCTCTTCGCCTTGGCCTTCTCAAGAAGTCGCTTGCGATCAGCTTCCTCTTGTCGACGTTTGCGATCTTTGATCTCATACATTCGGATCAGTGCTTTGGGAGGTTCACCGAAAATGCTTTCGTACTCGCAAAATTCACAGATCCAGTCGTGTGTTGCGCTGTTGGGATTTGTTCGTCGAGTTTCTGTAGCAACTTGACGACGGCGCCTAGCAGCCCTATCAAGTGACCGATCAAGACGGCGCTTGCTATCCCGACGAGAACTCCCGGAGCCTCTACTAGCAGCAACGGAGGAACCATCATGGTGAGCAACACTGCCAGCTGGCAAAGAACCAGGGCCACCCTGGGTCGACATGCTGTGCTTATTCGCGTGGCCTTGTGCTCAAATCAGTAAACGTACATCTTCATTGTCTCGTGTGCACACTTACCAGGCCACCGGATAGTGCCAGGAACTTGAGATTCACAGGTGAAGGTGAACTGGGTCGAAGCTGGAGTGCTTTTTGTCACAGCCGAATGTTGCTGGAGTAAGCTCACGTTGTCCTGGCCCTGGGGTCGCAGTTTCTCAGCGTTTGCTATAGCGTTTGAGATTATACCGCTTCCTTCTTGTTCTAATTTTCTGTGTTAGAGTCTGGTAACCTGTTGATGATAGTGATGAGGGGTAATTATAAGCGAGGCCGAGTGCGAAAATACAGAACAGATAATCAAAATATTTTGTACGTTGCTGGGTGGCTGCATCACTAAGGTTCCGTTCTGCCCCATATACGCAGCACAAAAGAAGCATAATGTCATTGATCCTATAGGTCGCCTGATACAATAGGATCATGCATAAGACTGGCCGATGAATGCTCAACTGCCATCACGGATCCATTGTTGGGAAACAAGACAATAGAACGAAAGAATAGAGGAACAACACGTGAACCTGTGCGTGAAAGAAAAAGAGAACTTACCACCTGGTGCCCATTGGGGTTGAGCAGGTTTTGGTGTTCGTCCGATCCACGAACTATTGCCATCAGACAAGGCTCGAAGTGGGCTTCTACCGTTCCTCGAGCGCCCAAGTCTACCTCTACCAGAACCTGAAATCCCCTGACTGTTGGTTATGAACCCACTGGTACTTGAATGCGGGTACGATCTGTCATTATGCAGCTCGTTGTCAGGTGAATGTCCTGTGCTAGTTGAAATAGCAATGGACCCCATCTCATTGTTCAACGCTTGAGTGTTATTCAATATGGCGTCTCCTGCGGAAGGTATCTTGCGCTTCTTTTTGTTGCTTGTGTTCTCGAACAAATCATAACCGTCTGCCGATGATGTCGCTGAAGGAGGCGGCTGTGCATTCGTGCGAGGCTGGTCTGGCTTTGAATGTCGTCGAGCACCACGGGTCAGGATCTTTGGAGGCGACCGAGTGACCATGGTACTTCGCAGGGTCGTTTCTTCATCATCACCGTCACGCATTCCCAGACCGTTCTGTCTGGGGGTGTAGTTGCGCCCTGTTTCGGTCCTTCGGCCCTGTTGAGTTGGGCTTGTAGATCCTATCCTTGGCGGGCTTCCCTCGTCCTTGAGAGTATATGGCGGATAATAGAAAAGGGGGGTGGTTTCGTGCGTTGGAGGGGGGTATTTGATCGTATCCGCGACCTCTGAAGAGAGCTTCTCTCGAAGTCGACGTCTCGGTAATGGCCGAATCGGTCGCTCTGGAAATAACGACGATGCAGTATCTGGTGACATATTGGGACTATGACCTGCGCGCAAAGAACGCAAATTTCTCGTTAGCAGATATATCACCAGAAACCCGATAAGAATAGTCACGGCCGAGGCAGTATCCAACATTGCGAGGGATGTGATAATGGGAATATTTCATGACGTTGCCAGACATCGCTCAGCCTGGGCAGCCATTGAGAAAGGTTGAAGTATCAAGACTTGCCAGGCGTCACAACTGCCTCGCAGCGTCCAAAGTGAATGGAAAGCGTACCCATCAAACATTGTATTGACTCTGATGCAAACCGCAAAAGAGGGAGCAGGCGAACAGCAAGTGTGGCCAAAGGAGGGGTCGTGTCGCAGTATATGCAATCAATATATTGTCGACAAACTGTCTTGATTGTAGTGTGCTGAGAATACAATCCGAAGGGGGTATCAAAACCGTGATTCGCAAACGCCAACACCGAGTTCGAGGCCTTGATGTTGTCTCAGAGGGGTAACTTGGTTCGGTCGGGCTATAAAACGTTCTGTGTGCGGGTCAGAACATATTGTCGACATAAGGTATCACGACTGGACGTGAAGTACTAGAGCGAGTTTCGGCCTGAGCCAATCCAGCCTCAGCCTTGAACCTCGTCTCAAATACAAAGTCAATCGATTCTTGAAGAGGTTATACGAATGGTCGCTGGACTCGCTCGTTGTCCAAGGTCGGGGCTCGCTTACCCAGTCACGGCCGGGTTACTTGTGGAGGGGGGCTTGAGAGACTGGAGAAACCTCAATCCAAACTCGTTCACCCGCTGAGGTCCAAAATCCAACAATAATTGACAAAAAGAATCCAGAATGTCGGTAGCCTGCAAAATAACAACGCGAAGCCCGATAACACCTCAAAGTTGTTGTACAGTATCTGTAGCTGTGTGGTTAAATCATCACCAGTGGAGTTGTCACAGCCAGAGCCATATGGCCGTTGGGAGGCAGTGGAGCAGTTAGTCAGCCAAGCTGGCGCCTAATGTCTATAGGCTGGAAGGGAAGTAATTGTCCCACCTTTTGAGTTTCTCCAATTCTAACTGACAGCACCCACAAGAAAAAGAAAAGGTCATGATTGGCTTCATGACTGCCATCCTCATGCTCTGCACTCTCTACATCATCGCATTTTGGGCGGAAAGACCGTTGATGGCGCTCTATAGACTAGCCTCTCCGTTGTTCGTGTGGTGTCGCCAGGAACTTGACGTACATCCATGGCATTCAATGTCTCCCTGATGTCATTCTCCCGAGAATCCCCATGTATGGATTGCAGGGTATGCACGGTAGAACATTTGATACATATGTACGGATATTATCTGTGAAAACGGACTTCATTGACTGACCATGATGGAAGCGGAAACAAACCGCCGACTGTGGGGGTTTAGTCGCTTGATCAGCAAACAAAACAAGGTCCCTGGCGACACTGGCAAATGGTACAAGACGGCATCAGAAACGTTAACATTTAAGCTTTAGGTAACAAATAAGCAATGGCCTAGGAGTCCTGTCTAAACAGTTATTCATCAACTGACTGATTTCGCTTTATATCTCCAACAGTCATGGAAGTTCATCTGCTACCCCGACGTCTCTAGGTTCGAGTTTGTTACGGTGAGTGGGACTAGAATTTTTCAGTGTGCCTTCTGAATGGTTAAGCACCTATGCACAGTGCTCCAGAAGACCCCTGTATCCTGGAGCTTGCAAGGTGCTGCACTGAGCGGGCAGTTCAGTGAGTGCTAGAATGCCCTGCAGGTGGTCTTGTAGTGGTTCCATCGGTTCAGGTCTTTCTGAAGCGATGCTAGGCAAGTGAGACCCGCGCCCACCTTCCTGCCCACTTTCCCATGCCCATGCCCACGCTTGAGCAAGCCCATGTCCGCGCCTCTTCTCTTCCTTCTCCTCCTCCAAAGAAAGCTTCCGCCCACTCTTCTCTCGGCACATACCACCTCATTGTTACGGTATCTCTCCGTTTCATACTCATAGCGTTTCTGCGCATTCTCGACATGCTTGCTTGCCAACCCCGTCTTCGATACGAACGTTCTACCTTCTTGTTCCAGTAGTCGCACTCGTCGCTGGTCGCTCACCAACCCAGCTCCCACGATCTTGGTCGCCGTTGCATTACGTTCAATTCTCGCGATTCTACCTTCTTCTGACGTGACCATCAACATCGGAGAGAGCCTGTCTACTATATAGTGTCACACGCGCCGTCATCTGCCGAACGAGGCGTCGATCCCCTACCCTTTCTACCATCTCGTTTTCTCCTCATATTCCACCTCACCTCGGTGACCCTACTCCCTCAATGGCACCACCTTCGCCGCGACGGTCATCGAGAGCCCGCATCACCAATTCTCAATCACAGCAATCATCGGTATCCTCAAACACGTCGGGTCGAGTCGAGCGGAACACAAGATCTGTCGCTAAACCTTCTTCCAACAAGTCCACGCCCAGCGGCTCATTATCCTCGGAGCCATTTGAAGATCTTGACGATACCCTCCTTGGTCGAAGGCGAAAGCGGAACCAGGAAGACGATAACGACAAAAATTCCAAGTCCGACAACTTTGACATGGTGAACGGAAGCGACGACCTTCAAGAAGAGGAGGACGAGGCTGTTCGATGCATCTGCGATGCTGAAGAGTATCCAGGTCGTCCGCCTGTCGAAGGTGCCGACTTGGACTTTTTCAATGCCATTGAATTCACCGAAGACGTTACCGGCTTCTTCGTTCAATGCGACATTTGTAAAGTCTGGCAGCACGGCGCCTGTGTAGGCATTTTTAGCGCCGAGAGCTCTCCTGATGAGTATTTTTGCGAGCAATGTCGCAAAGAACTCCACAAGATATATACGGCAAGCAATGGGTGAGTCAAACTTGTCATTCCGGTTGGACTTTGTTCAGTCAAGATGTCTCTGGGACGTTCACTTTCTGAAAATTCTGTTTTTTACCCCGACTACCTATTTCATCTCCCTTCGCTACGCACTCCCGTTACGATCGTCTTGCGCTGACATTATCTTTCTCAGTCAAAAATGGTCTAAATATGTTCCCCATAATCGTCCGTCGCGCGCGACCTCCCGAGCTACCTCGATCGCTAAGGATGGCAACCGCTCACCCAAGACTGGGACGAGCAAGAACTCGCGCCCTACTTCCGCTTCGCAAAGTTCCAAGCGTCGATCTACAATGAATAGCCGCGACCGTGCATACGAAGATGAGCAATTGTTGAGAGCCATTGAAGCAAGCAAAGAAGACGTACCTCAAGATGGATCAGAAATATTAACCCGACGAGCGAAACGAGGACGCAGCGACAGTGAGGAATCAGTAGCTGTCAACGCTCGTCCACGGGACGACAAGTTGGCGTCGCTGAGAAATCCAATAAGCGTCAAGCGGCAAAGGACCAGCTCTAGGTCACCTTCGCCCCCAATCGAACCGGCCGAAGTACAGACTCACAATGAGTCGGAGGACGAAATCAATACCCGTAACGGAACGAAGAGGGTTCGCAACAACAAGAACCAGCGAGCCAAAACTGAGAAGGAAGACAAAGAGCGTCAGAGACAAGAGGCCGCGGACAAACGCAAAGGCCGCGCAGAAAGGCGACGAGGAGAGGGTAAGATGAACAACGATGTCTACGGTACAGTTGAGGCTGACAATCACTTAGACTCAGATCCTGCCGAGGAGACGCCCCCTGCCACAGTCAAACCCCCAGCCACGAAGAGTATTGAGGCACCTGTCATTATGGAGACACCCGCGCCAGTCGAGCCTGTACCCGACACACCCCCTGCGAGTCATCAGCCTGTTTCAAGCATCCAGAAACGTGGCGGAAGAACGGCTCACAAGAAAGGCAAAGGGAGGAACCAGTATACGAGAGATCGAGACGGGGAAGGCGAGTCGCCAGCGCGGTCAATGTCGCGTGACATACAGAAGACCAGTGACGAGCCCACGCCGGCTCACCCGAAACCAACGAGTGAACATCGACATGGCAAGTCGAAGCCGGCCATTCACCACAAGTTGAATATGGTCGACATGAAGCGGCGTGTTGGCGCCATTATGGATTTTATTTCGAGGACTCAAGTAGACCTTGCAGCCGAAACTTTGCCAGTGACGAATGAGAACACGAGTAATGGGGAGGTGTCGCTTCAGAAGACTATGAGCTCTGAAGCTGCTGACAAGGAAAGTACTCGGGAGTCCTCTGAGGGTAAAGAGTTCAAAGACTTGAACCCCATGGAAATGATGGACGTTCTGACAAGAGATATGGTCAAATGGCAGAATCAGTATACCTGATAACACAGATTAGGTTCACAGCAGCACATCTTGGAGTCTCTACAGCAAGGGATACGTGCTCGATTGTTATTATTTCAGGCGTTTAAGGTTAAGGTACATCCAGCGGCGTCACCAGCATCCAAAATTGATGCAGCAGGCACGGGTTTTTCGTTCTTCTTAGGGTTTTGGTTGTTTGTCATTTGACTGGAAGCACTCTATCGAGGCAGGGACCCTTTGGTGTTCCGGCTATCATTCTATATATACCCTAGCACGCCTCAAGGACTTAGTCATTGGTGCCTGCACATTTTCAGCAAGAAAGGTTATGTGGGCAAGGGACAATACGAATTTGAGTATGATGTAAGACAATATGCTTAGACAGTAGTGTACATGGAAAAAATGCCCTATTATGCAGATACATTTTACAGTGATCAAGTCTTGAATTCATGATTCTAAGCACCCGCTCTTTCTTGTGCGCGTGCTTCTTTCAGTTGCTTTTTAGCCTGGTTCATGCTGAGTGGGGGATTTATCAATCGCTGTTGATGTTCCTCGATTGCTTCGTCCGTTAAATCTTCGAGCATGAACTTGCCCAGCTTCCCGGTTCTCCAATCTTTCAGGAACACGCTGGCCGCTCCATGGAAGTTTGGTGAACCCCCAGCCTTCAGTTTCCCTGTTTTCGTAGCAATGGATGTAAGTAATTCTTCAACGCTATTTGTGGGCTTTGAATACTGCTCGTAGAAGGCTGGGTCGATCTTGTTGAGGCGGTAGAGCAGGTAGTCTACCAGAACCTCTGAAGGTACCAGGCCAACCTTGATGCCTTGCACGAGCGCAATCTTTATCATGGTTTCTGGGTTGTCGACGTATGGTACGAAGACACCTGGAGTATCTAACATGAATACCCCTTCACCAACACCTCTCTGCGGATCATTGCCTTTTGTTTCCACGATGCGAACGCTCGTGCCGATCTTGCGCGTAATTCCTGGTTGCCCCCCAGTCTTGGCTGACTTTTTAGTTTTCTGCGGTAGCCCGTTACTCCGTAATGTGTTGAGCAATGAACTCTTTCCCACATTGGGCATCCCTACGATCATGGCCCTCATTCCCGTTATTGAGTCGACTGCGCGCGCAACATCTTTGACCTTTCTAAGGAGGTCTTTTGTTGTTTTTTCGCTCTCTTTATTCCAGAGCACAAAACGATCGCCGTACAACTTGCGCAGAGCGTTGACGTACTCGGGTTTGTTGGTTGTGAGGTCGCATTTTGTGAAGACAACAATTCGCTCGCGGCCGGCAAGGGATTGTTCGAGGATGGGATTATTCGTGGTCAATGGGAGACGTAGATCGCGGCATTCGAGGATGAGATGTATATTGTTCAGTCTCTTGATCATACCAGATTGGGCTGTAGCATGATGGCCTAGGTAATATGTCTTGGGAATTGAGTTTGGTAGGCCAAATGTTTGCCGAGGAATGAATTGCGCCATTGTATCGGTTTATTCAAGAAGATCTCCCGAGGTCATGTGTTTTGCATGTTATCTTGAATGTGGGACTGACGTCGAGAAACTCCAGATATTACAATGAGGATAATGGGATATTAGGTATTCAAGGACCCTGAAAAAGAAGACGACTAGTAAATCTAGAATTCAGCCTTGCCTAGATGCTCCACTTTTACTTACAGCCTTGCCCCTCCGCACGTGCAGATGTACGACAGAGCTGAAAGTGACGTCACTCTACCTCTCTTCAATGCCGAACCAATTGAGTTTCTGAATTCAACCACGCGGCTCAAGAGACTATAAACTAAAGCATGAACTAACATGATCGAATCGTTTCTCGTACTGACAAGGGAAGATGGCAAATAACCATTGAACGCCAAGAAATATTCCAAAGCCAAGAAAAAGCCAAGACCAGGCTTTACATATGGGACCAAAATGATAAATTGCCTCAGAGTCCTCACTCAGAGTCAAGGGAAGATGCATCATGTGCTTGCCTTCAATTCACTTCAGAACCGCCGAGTTTTGTCTTGTTGTTGTAGTCAAAGTTGACGTGAACAATGGCTAGGCCTGAGACTGAACCAGTTCAAGACTTGATTGACATCGAGAGAAGGCCAACCTTTGGATCTGCTAATACTGTCACACCAAACACCAACGCTCAAGATGCAGCAGGTCCACCTAATCAAGGAAATCGACCATCCAAGTATTTTGGCAAAGAGGGCAAACTTCGTCCCTTTCGATTACTAAAGGAAGATGTTATCAATCTCAAAGATCGATACCTGTCAGATTGGCAAGTCTTTAACCAGCAGGTGGTTGCGAGTGCTGTCTACATCTTCTTTACCAATCTTCTGCCCGGCATCACCTTTGCAAGTGACTTGTACACCTTGACTGGAAAGTCGTGGGGCACTATCGAGGTCGTCTTCAGCACTGGCCTCTGCGGTCTCATATTTTCTCTGTAAGTGGCACTCATAGTACAAGGCTCAGCTGAGCTGCACGCTGACAAGACCATAGTTTCTCGGGTCAACCTCTGACAATTCTTGGCGTGACTGGTCCTTTCTCAGTCTTGGCCGAGAACGTTTACGAACTATGTGACAAGCACTTCCATGTAAGTTACATGAGCAACACCAAGCCAAGTCTTCTAACATAAACAAACAGGTCGAATTTCTGCCTGTCATGGCATGGACTCTCATCCACGCCGGGTGGATGCACTATCTCCTGGCCATCTTCAATGCCCATGACTGGACGATGCAATATGTCACCCATTTCAGCGCCGACATCTTTTCTTTGCTCAACAGTGTCATCTACTTCCACAAGGCTGCCATGGAACTGAAGCGCACCCATGCCCGAGTCTCACTCGCTGCCTTCCTCTATGCTGTCCTAGGCGCCATAGGGACTTGTCTTCTGGCCATTTTGTTGTCAACCGCAAACTCGTGGAAACCCATGCTCCATCGCTACGTTCGTCTTGGTCTTACAGAGTATGCGGCTGCCATTTCCATCATCTTCTGGATTGGAATCCCATACATTGGAGAACTAGCCTCCCTGGATCATATTCGTCTTGAGGTGCAGACTAGCTTCCGGCCTACAAACCCTGACAGGGCGACATTCTTTGTTCGTTTCTGGGAGGCGCCCATTGAGTGGGTGTTCCTGTCCATGATTCCAGGTGCCATCGTTACAGTATTGTTCTACTTCGATCATGAAATCAGTAGCATCATCTGCACTGTAGAGCGATATGGGACTAAGAAGCCAGGCGGCTATGCTTGGGATGTGGCTCTATTGGGAACAACTACAATAATCTGCGGTATTCTCGGCATCCCTCCGGCCAACGGTCTCCTCCCTCAAGCACCTCTCCACTCCGAATCACTGATGCACTATGTCCTAGAGAGTCCTCCAGCTGAAGAGGGTGAGCAACCAGAGTCACCCCGCCACGTTGCAAGGACCTATGAGCAGAGATACTCGCACTTCATTCAAGCTGCTCTGATTCTCATTTTTGTATCACCTCCCCTGCAGAAGCTATTAGGTCTCACACAGACTTCTGTGCTAGCAGGGCTCTTTATTTTCATGGGCTATCAGTCATTGTCTGTCAACCCTATCTTGGAACGGGTTGTTAATCTTCTCACTGCACCGTCCGATCTTCCTGAACTTCCCGCTGGTGTTACCTGGCTCGGAATCCACATGTACACCATCACTCAAATTATCATGACTGGTGTCGTCTTTGGTGTGACTCTGACGGTTGCAGCTCCTGCATTTCCACTCATCATTATTGCTTTGGTCCCTATCCGATTGTCAGTCATGAACCGGATTTGGAGTCGTGAGACATTACGAAGAGTAGATGGATGGGCATGTCGAGAAGGGAAACCAGAGGATGATCTGATCCCAGTAGAGATACTTGCAGATGAAGAGAAGGCCAACGCCTAACTGCATGGAAGTGTGACCGGAACAGCTCAGGCACATCCAAGGGTGGGGAGGATACCTACATAGATTTAACTTTTAATGACAACACACACAACACTCTGATTTGTTAGCTATCCACCGTCTTTTTATATGCTCCCCCACAAAGTCTACCACTGTTAAGGCATTTATATTTTGGTCGTGAAAAGCAAATTTCAAGTCAGTCAATTATCGCAACTCGATCGAAGCTCCGAAATCCTGAGGACTGGCTAACATGGCATCGCCTGCACATGAAAAATATGCTTTCGTTACAGGCGGAGGCTCTGGTATGATTTCGCCATGATATAATAAGTATCAACCATTCCGAGACTGATTACGAGAACAGGCATCAACCTATGCTTTGTTCGCGTACTGCTCGAGAATAGATGCTCGGTTCTCATAGCAGATCTTAAGCTTCGATCCGAAGCCCAACAACTCATGGAACAACACCCATTTACGGGCGACAATGACAAAGCTGGAGTACTATTCCAAGAGACGGACGTTGCATCCTGGCCTCAGCTGACAACTGCATGGAGAATAGCCTTGGAGAAGTTTTCCAGGGTTGATATCGTCGTCGCCGGAGCGGGAATATTTGAACCTCAATGGTCTTCGTTCTGGGAAGCTCCGAAGACGGAGAGTAACCAAGACAGTGTTTCTCGGGATGATGCTGATGCTGATCCCGGACACTATGCTGTTCTGGACGTGAACTTGGTGTCTCCCATTCGGCTCAGTCAACTTGCTATTGGATACTGGACAAATACAAAGCACAAGGGATGTCTCATACATGTCGGCAGCATAGCCGGATATGCAGCGGCCATCACAACGCCTTTGTACTTTGCCAGTAAGCACGGCTTGCACGGGTTTGTGAGATCGCTAGGAGGACTTCGGGATGAACTTGGCATCCGCGTTGGATGTGTAGCTCCGGGAGCTGCAGCGGTAAGTTCATTCCATATCTACATGTGGTCTCTCGCGATGGCTGCTGATATCAGAACTAGACTCCTATATGGAGCGAAGACCCAACCAAAGCCATCATGCTAGAAGAGGATACAGTGCTCATCAGTCCCGAGGAAGTGGCACAAGGCATGTGGAGACTTGTTGTTGACCCGGAACTTGGCAACGGTACCATCCTTGAAGTGACAAAGGGTGCAACAAGAGTTGTACCTCTCTATAATGTACCAGCTCCTACTGGAGAAGGCATCATGGTACCCGGCTACGCAGCTTCCACCGCACAGATATATCAGAAGCTCAGAGATGGCGGTTTGAATGTATAATCGAATGCCCGTTGCAATCGGCCGTGACCTTCTACATGTTGGACCCCCGTACAAGCCGCCATGACCTCTTTACCAGTACTCATGGCCACAACCTCAACGGTAGATAGTTCAAATGCATCGATAAGTAGAACACACAGATCCCTCAACAAATGGTATTTTTAGAATCAGTGACGCAGATCGCTTCGCTTGTATATTCTGGCTCCAGCTCTGTATTACGACACGCAAGCCAGCCCTGTTATCCCATAGATCCCGAGTCAGTCTTCTGGCGCATGGATCAGACTGAGCACCGTGGATAGTCAGGATCTAGGGTCCAGTCCAGCATAGCCTCATACCCAATATTAACAAAGATTCTCTCTGGAAACCGAGCTTAGACCATCGTCTTGGCACTTTTAGGCCTCTTGAAGCTCTGTTTCCTCACACATTCAGAATTGCTGATTGAGATGACTTCTTTTTCAGAAATGGATTCGTACAACCCAAATAGCAGCCATAAACTCCCTTTTAATGTTTTGGACATTGACTGACCAGAAGTAGCCTGGTAGCTCTTACAAACAAGTATTTCCACAAGCACGTTCTCCCGGTTGCAATAACGGAAGACGCTCGTTTGATGGTGGCAAGAAATAAATGAAAGATATTGACATGAAACCCATAAGATGATGGTACACTTGAGTGCTGTATCATAATAGCGTAGATAACTAAAGCAAGGCCAGTGAAGAAGAAAATAAATCCATAATCGCACACCGGATAAGTGAGCTCGCGAAACGAGTTGGGTATCTTGATGAGCCGTCTTCATCATACTGCACTGCTCTTGATTTCCTTCTCTTCTACATCTCCTTGTCTATCACAGACACCCTCTCCTCCAAGACAAAAGCCGAAAACATCGTCCTCGCTGTGTTGAGAGAAACGTGTTGTTCCAAAAGAAGTAATAGATCGGCTCGCGTTGCGCCGTAAAAGCTGCAGGCTCAATCGTTAATAGGAATAGGTAGGTGTAAAATGGTTGTTTGTCTTGTTGTCTCAATTTCTGGTCTTTGAATATGTAAATGGTTGAATGGGAAAAACAGGGTGGCTGACGAGCCAGAAACGGTGGTATGGAACAGGTGCGGTTTGGCTCTAGGTATCCAAAAGCTTTGTCGGTCTACTTGATGTTCTTGAAAAGGTCAGAGCCCAGGCTTCCGTTGTCCTTTTGGATATCGGTTAATTCGGGTATCATAGGAGGCGGCGGGCCTGATTGCTTCTGGGGAGTCGTAGCGCGAGGAGGTTCTTCCATATACATGGTGCTGGCTCGTTTGTCGGGGAGGGGATCTCCGCTTCTCATGCGCCTGAACCAGCCGCTGGCTCTCTTGTTCTTGCGCTCGTCGAGATAGCTCGCACCGCCCTGGCTGGCTGGGCGAGCATATCCGGGTGGGGGTGACTGGACACTTGCGTTCGATGATTTCTGGCCCTCTGCATAACTGTTATTCAACATGGTCCTACTCAATAGGCGACGGATGCTGCCTTGACGGCTTGAAGCAGCTGGGCTCAGTGGAGCATCGTCGTCGGCGTTGCGCTTGGTTCCAGCGAGATTACCATTAGAAGAAGCAGTAACGCTTGGCTGCGGTGTGCTGTTGCCGACGTCCTCGGCGACACTGCTGTATGTATCCTGTGTCGACTCCTTGGGGGCTTCGTTCTTGGCTTCCTTGACGGGGGGCGGTGTCTGTGGAGGCGTTGGGACCTTCTGAACAGGTGAATCCGGAGGCGGTGGGATATTGGTGCCGTCTGTGATGCTGCCAAAATTGAGGTTGAGGGCAGGTAGCTGGAAGCGTGAGCCTCCGCTACTCTTGCCAAAGAGAGACGACATTTTGGTTAATTAGGTCGTTGATTCAAGACAACACGGATCGGACGGGTTCTGGAACAAGGCAGATGGAGAGTGTCGACCAAAAAATCGGAAAGGGGTTTTGGCGAGAAAGTATCGAGAAGCTCAAAGAGAAAAGAATTGAGCTAGCAATAGAAAGTCTCGATAAAGTTGCAATCGACGACTGGGATGCAACAGTTGCAAAAAGATGACGAAGCAGAGTTTCAACTCCCCGCAAGAACAAGGCGACGAGAAAGGAGAGGTTTGATCAACGGCTCAACCCAGGTCAGGTCAGGTCCAGGATGTGCAGTACAGGTATCTGTGTGTAGGTATGCTGTATGGATCTGTACAGTATGGAGGTGGTGGAAAATTGGAGCAAGGGTCGGGTGGCTTGTGGTTGACTGCAAGCTGCAAGGATTCGCAACGCGGCGTGGCGTGCTTTTCTGGATGCTATGATGATGGCCCTGGTCGTGGAGAGAGCAATTGATGCGACGAAGAGAAGGACAATTGCGATAGTAATGTTTGGCGCTCGCAAAGGAGACGCAGGATAGAATAGAGACGAGGGTTGGTTGTTGAGAGGATGATGAGGGAGGAGAAACGTCTTTGCTGAAGAAAGAATACTCAAAAGTACAAGTACAGTTAGCTACCTAACCTACTTGATCTAGGGTGCTAAGACAGGTAGAATTGGTGCAAGACGGGGTCTTGGGTCTTGGAAGGAACTGTGGGTTGAGGTAAGTGGAGAAATGCCGTGGCTGGCACTTGGACTTGCTCTAATGGGGATACATTGGAAATACTTGCAGCTTCGCATGCAACCCACTGTTTCCTCTTCTGGGCCTGCCCCTGAGAGACTGCAGTGAATCCGCCCTCTCCTGGACCCTGCTGCTAGCCACGCGGGTTGGGCGCTGGGCGACTTTGGGTTCGACAAGTCCTCTTTAGAACTCGGGATGCCAAGATGGGCCCCATGGGATTAGTCTCTATGGAGAATAGCGGGCCAACCCGCAGGCAGTGGTTTTACGAAGTACAAGTACCTCTAGAGTACCTGCGTCCAACTCCAACTGTCATGCAATCACTCAATGACAATTATTGAATAATAACAGGTAATACCTACCTCTGTTATACTCATTTCCAGGCAATTATAGTATTCAAAACTGTTGCGACATATATCGAGGTTGTATATACTATAGCATTGCTGATTAAAATTACAGCAACGTCTAGACGCTTCATCGCGATCAGGGCCCCCCATTCCTTACATTCCCATTCAATGCAGGCAGGCAAGCAGGACATTCTTCTGTCGTGCAGTATAGTGCTCTACTATAGATGGAAAAGCTGGCCTTTAAACTTTACGAAACAAGAATAAATGACCTTAAAGACCGGCCTAAGTAACGTAAATTGACTTGATAATTTTGTTTCTTATGCTTCTATCAGCCAACTTTTCCAACGCTGTGAGGATACTCCCAGTACTATAACGCCACAGACGTAGGCCAATGCCAGACTCAAATACCCCAGTGACGTATGTTTCAACCAGGTTGTGGACGTTTCGACAATCTGAATATATTCCAATCGTTTCAAGATCTTAGAGATGTCTTATCTGATCCCGAGATCTTCATCTTTGCTCAGATGCAATAAACACAACTGCCTCGTTAGCCCCAGTCAGTTCAGTCATGTATACCCTGAAGTACCTGAAGAGATAGTCGACCATTACCAGCAAGTGTTTGTTTTCTCTCCCGGACTTTAATACTTGGAGGGGTTCCCATGGGATCTTGGATTGTTTCGGGGCTTTCTGGCAGACCATATCGTGGTCTATTCACTCAACCACATCTTTCGCCATCATTAACCACCACAAACCACAATCGTCATCGATTGTGATGAGGGACCGAGAAATTACGTTGGCAGCGTTTCAGATATATCTATTTCCACTACTGTTGTCGTCATTGTTTCTCCAGTGTTCATGTTGTGAGCAGCGATATGCCTTGTCTTAAGTTTCAAGATACTACTATACCAAGACAACCGTGATGCATCACAATAGTCCATGTCGATAATTTGAGAATTATACCGTAGTACTGAGCCGCACTATAATACCGGCAAAATACTTTTCTTCCGAGATGAGATTAATTTCTCCTATGTCGCTGTGTAACTTGATTGAGAGCTTGGCATATTAACCTATACCTACAAAGACAGATACTTTATCAACAAAAAGAGAATGATCTGACTGGATTGCGTTTCCATAGGAGACCAGGAACAGAGTGGAAAGACGCTAAAACATGTTTCATCAACTGTTTTGCCTTTGCAGATTGAGCATTACATGATTCAAGATTTGAATGTCCTCCCTTTGGTCCGTCTGGCAAAGAGAGAAATCTGCTAGAATGGATACACACACTCTCCTTCCCCTGATTATCGCGAGTCATGATGCACCGGATGAAATATAAAAGTATCGTCAAGTACCTGGAGTTTTCTATGGTGACAAACTAAGGCAGTGGGAATATGCAAGCCCCCATTCCCTTCTCAGCTACCTACTACCTATTACAGAGAAAAATGTTTTACCCAGTCTCCAAAGTCGAAACCCCCGCGTTCCACAATTGATGAAGGGATCCAATTTTCCACAATTCGATTCTGGACCCCGATATTCAGACACTCTTTATGACCCCGCTTAATCGCATTTTTTGATTGGCAGATAAACCCGTTGCTCGCTTGTCCGTTAACGTCATGGTCTTGTAGAGCTTTCGTCAATTTGGACTGAGCTCGGCTGAACCTGTTTCGTCAGAGGTTGAGTTGAGTCGCAAAGCAACTTCAATTACAGAAGCAGTTCTCTAACAAGCACGGAATAATTGATAATTTATTCCATTCATCATGGCCAGCTCACAGTGTTTGCGCCTTAGGCCGCTTGCCTCTGGGCTAACCAGACCCTCGGCAAAGCTCAGCGCTCAACATATGACAAGACTTCCCATCACTGCGGCACGATATAAGTCGGGTCCTTATGGCTACACACAAGCAAAGGCCCTTGTTTTCTCTAAGCCCGGTGAACCTTCTGATGTCCTTAGGTGAGTAATTCATTCCTCTCAACAGGCACCACGATCTAACAGACAATTCTCAGCCTTCATACTCACTCCATCTCGCCATCCATCCCTTCAAACTCGGTTCTCGTCCGAACGCTGGCCGCTCCAATTAATCCCGCCGATATCAACACCGTCCAAGGCACATATGGTTCCAAGCCTCCCTTCACTTCTCTGATTGGAACATCTGAACCTTCTGCCATTCCTGGCAACGAAGGTGTTTTCGAGGTCGTCTCTACCGGTTCGCCCTCTTCATCGCTGCAGAAAGGCGATTGGGTTATCCCTGCCATTGGCCAGTTCGGAACCTGGCGGACACACGCCGTCGACGAGACCGACAAGTTCATCAAGATCGATAAAGAGGGCCTGACTCCTACACAGGTTGCGACTGTCAGTGTCAACCCATCTACTGCCTACCGGATCTTGCGACATTACGGTCCCAATGCTGGTCTTCAGGCTGGCCTGGGTATGCGCCCACTTGAGGTCGGCAGCGGACAGTGGTTCATTCAAAACGGCGCCAACTCAGGTGTTGGACGAGCCGCCATCCAATTCGGTAAGCTTTGGGGTCTGAGGAGCATCAACGTTATCCGCGACCGTGATACTCCCGAGGCCACTGAGACTCTCAAGAAGGAACTCCTCGATCTTGGCGCAGATGTCGTTGTCACTGAGTCGCAGTTCCTATCCCGTGAGTGGAGAGACCAGCTCGCCGAGATCACCCGCAAAGGCCGCGAGGAGATTGGACTGGGTCTCAACTGCGTTGGAGGCAAGTCAGCAACCGCCATCGCCCGATCTCTTGGCAACGGCGCAACCCTAGTTTCATACGGTGGTATGGCCAAGCAACCCGTCCAGCTGCCTCTCGGTCTTCTGATATTCAAGGACATCCGTTTCACTGGTTTCTGGCTGAGCCGACTGAACGAGCAGGATCCAACCGGAAGAAAACATGCAATCAACGATATCCTCCAAATCATTCGTTCAGGTCAGTTCCGCGACGTCCCTATTGAGGAAGTCAAGTGGGATTGGGAGACAGAAGAGGAGACTCTGCGCAATGCTGTGCAGCAGGGTCTTCAAGGATTCCGCAAGGGCAAGGGTGTCTTTACTTTTGGTGAGACATGAGACAAAAAAGAAAAATAGGCCGACAACGGTGTAATGATGCCTGTAAGCTCCTGGCTGGTAAAGTATGCGACGCCAAGCAAAAAGCAAAAGATGAAATGAGTACACGAGTCTCGATGTTTGATATAAACAACACTTATGCTCACGTGCATATACGAACATATACAAAATCAAATTGTTAGTCCATTGTCTAACCCATGCTTTAACTGCCTGTGTACCACAACGCCCCAACTCCATCACCAGATGAGATTATGTCATTAGGACTTCTAAGCCCGGAAAGCTTGCGCCCACTCATGCAACTTGTCAATGACAACGGGTGCATACGCTGTCAGTGTATCTTCAATGACCCGATCGAAATACCTCAGCGCCTCTTCCTCGCTCAACTCCAGATGGAAGCGCTCTCGAACCTTGAGCACTGCCTTGTCCGGCTCAAGTCTGATATCAGGGATATTAGCATCGACCATAAGACTAAAGAGATTGAGGATAAGGTTCGATGATTTGCGTAGTGCCGTGTATGATAGGAAACAGTACTGCTTGAACTGTTTATAGTGCTCCGACTGTACGCCGCCCATACAGTCCACCATTTCTTTTGAAAGCTTCATCAGCGGTGCAAAAGGTTTGGGATCTCGGCCAAGAATGAATCCAAAATCAGCGTGAAAGAAGTGGCCGTCGGGCGCAAGCAGAAGGTTCTCCAGATGACGATCACCGACACCAAGGATGTAAGTGATAACACAGTAGCCAGCGCAGGACCTCACGTATGTATCCAAGGTTTCCTGTCTAACACCAAGAGGTTGCCTATCATCTGGGTTATGATATTTAAGATAAGCCAAAGCTGGGTTGTTCTTGAATTTGTTGACAATGCTTGATAAGCTTGCCGATTGCACGAATTGCGAAGCGCCAGCCGAGGTACTGGTTGCCAGAATTTTGTATGGCGACAACTTGAGATCCAGATTCTCTTTCTGCAATAACTGATCCATAAGAGTGATAATTTGGATAACAAGCTGATCTTGTCTAAGATCATCGCCTAGCTTGAAGATGATAGGATACGAGCTTCCCGTCGTTGTTTTGAATGTGCATTTGAATGGATTAAGTGATGATTTAAAAACCACTGTCTGATCTGGGATAATTCCCGTCACCAATACTGAAGGATCAAGCGGCATCGGCAAAGGAGGATCGAAGGTAAGGAGCTCATTCTTTGGGTCAGCCAAGAAATGCTTTACCTTATCAACCTTCTTTGCAACAGATTCGTTCGACGTTTTGACTTCTTGCGCAATCCTTGAGAGTATGGCGACCAGCTCTGCTTGGCGTAGTAGAGTTTTGCGCATCTCTTGGCCGTCTGGTTGCTTCACAAGTTCAACCATAAAATCGTAAGCAACCTTTCGGTAGATGTTGCGGTTATCGACACCTTGCTCGGGACTCGGATCGTCGCACTCTACCATCAGATACCAGTGGAAATAGTTTCCCAACATGAAGTTAGCTGCCGCACGTTGGATTAGGAAGCGAGCCAAAGATGAATCATGACAGCTCTCCTCTTCTGTTTCAGTTGAGATGTGCTCATACTTGAGAGCCTGTACCAATTGCAACAGATATAGCAGTAATTCCTCGTCATCCGCTTTGCGGAGTCGCTCTACAGCGTAGGAACGGACAGCAGAGTTATCAAAAGACGGCCCAAGAAGTTCGAGAGCATCGTCGATGTCAATAGCGGTCCAACGACCAAGTACTTGTATAGCCTGCCTTGATTCGCTCTGATCACCCCAGTTGACTGATTTGACAAATTTGGTCAAAGCTCGCTTGTCTCTGGTCAAATGGTAGCGGAACTTCCAAACCAAATCAGTTTCCTCTGGGCTGAGGACATGGGTCGGAGAGTACGACATGATCAAGTTAAGCTCATCTCGAACCTTTGCATTCGGTTTCAGATCCTTGTCAAGAATACCATGTCGGTGTGAACTTCGGAATAATCTTCTGTGTTTGGCCTCTGCAGGATTGTCTCTATGCCCAGCTTCAGGATCATAAACCTTGATCAGTCGACCCCCAAGAGCTGTAGAGTGTTCGCCTAACGCATTTATGCCAGGGCCATACTGAACTTGCGGCTGACGGTGGGCGATGCTGGCCTGGGAGACTGAGAGATTCTGGAGGGCCGATATAGGAGGAGGGCCATATTCGTGGTCGGCAAAAACGACAGGAAAGTCGAATCGTGGAAGCTCAACATTCAGCAAAAATGTTGATTGGCCTGGGCGTCCATCTTTCTCCTCACCATCTTGGCCCTTCGTATCGTTCTCCCCGTTTATGGCTCGTTGTCTCTGGAGCATTTTCATTGATGATTTGGCGGCTTGTAGGCCTCGCTTTTCAAAGCTCCGGAAAACCATCTGATCCAGCCAGTCAACTCGAGGTATCTCGCCCATTTCGTGTTTCTTGAACAACGTCTCCATCCTGTCCAACTCCTCTGCATCTTTGTCCAGGGGAGGAAGTTGTCCTTTTCGAGATGTTTTCTTCTTGGCCGAAACCAGCGCAGGTGTCGTCGTATTATCATTGCCATCTGCGTGTTCATGTCGGTGTACAAGACACTTCTGTCGTCCCTTCTGCGCTTGATTTTCGTCGTCGAACATAGGTAGAGTCGTGCCTCCAAAGGGAATGGCGTGGCCGATGGCCCCATCTCCGCCCACCGGTGAAAGATCCCATACTGTGATTGCCAGACATGAGTTGGCCGGTAGAGAGTCGTAAGTAATGGGCAGCTGAATCCACTCGTTCCATCTATCATCTCGATCAGCATATGGCGCCTCAAACTCTATGGGTATCATACTTTCGCTCGGATCGGAAGGGTTTGTAGGCAGTTTGAACCGGAACAGTCAAGGGCTTGGAGCCGGACCAAACCTGGACAGTAACATAGAGGTCGGAGTTGGGGCTAGCAGCTCTAGTTAGCCTGCCGCAAAGGTGGTTTGGAGATCATCAACATGGCGGCGCACCTGATGTTGGAGCCAATGTGGCGCAAGTCTGGGCGCTCGAGAAGGGTTGAGAACTTGTAAGGGGGTTCCTCGCCCTCAAGGTTCATTCTTCGCAGATGTCAGTCCAGGCTTTGGTTGCGAAGAGGCCTTTCTTACATGCGAATACTCACAGGATGATGGACATCCTTGGAACCCGCAAAGGAGAACGGGTCCATACGCCCGTACTCAGCCATGTCGCTCTATATCATTCTGTGTCTAAGATATAATGGCAGTAAAACGACGGTAAAGTCGAAGGGCAGGCTGCGCAGGTAGAAATCGGTGCCAGAAGATGTTGGAACATGGAGTAGAGGTAGGTACTGGAGAATGACGGCGTAGTTGTCGCAGACAGGTACGATAAGATAAGAGGTGCCTATTAGGTACCTTACGTGATCCACTGTTGGGGATTGTGGGGGAGTCACATGGGGACTATCACAAGGCATCTAAGACAATATATCTACAGTCTTCCAATCCTTAACCAATTTACTCTCAAATTAAGATATATGTAACTGACAAGTTTTGGTACTCCATCCTCATTACCAAGTTAGCATAATGCAAGTTTGCTGCTCTACTCAATTGCCAATTTGCTTGCTTCTGTTGGAAGCAGGGGCCCCTGATAAACTTTCAAGCCTGTCGATTAATCAAAAAGCTTCTTTGCATGGCTAACCGAATATACAAGTCTTTTCATGCATCAAAGTTCCTTCGTATTTTGGACGAGTCATGATGCAGCAATGTTGAAGACGGCTCATTTCCTCGTCAATCATCACTGGTCAAATAGGTTATACAAGCAAGTACCGATGATAGGCACTAAATATATCCAACTTGGTCTTTTTGTCTCATGGAGATTGCATAAAGAAGATCTTACTGCCTATGATTTATTGGCTCCGGCAGTCATGTCTCTCTCTCGATCCTCGTCCCCTGCAACGGAATGCCGTCCATCCGCGCCTGTTTACCCGTCGCTGGTTCATGACAAGGATCAGAGACTACTAAAGCAGACTCCAAGCCTCCAAAGTGCATAGCTCAAACCTAGCAGCCACACCGGCAGCTTCATCAATCAATGAGTTTCCTTCGGAGACATTCGTTGGACCTTTTAGGCATTTCATACCCTGTATCCGTACTGACTTGGCGCACCAGTCTCTTCAGCTCTTCTCCCTACCTACAAATTGCAATACAGAGTACCCTGGGTACCTAACACAGATCTACAGTACGCTCCTTTGGGGCGGTGTAAATTGTCATAACTATTCCCGTGTTGACTGTCACTATAATTTAGTTATAGCTGGTCCTCCTCATGCTTCGTTTTTTCAGAGCTCTGTTCTCTGCTCCTCCAGCCCATGACACGGCCTCACCGCGCCCAAAGTAGGCCAAAATGGCTCACGAGAGTCGTAACGATGTTATGATGAGGATCATGCCCAACGGAAAATATACCCTAGAGGCAATAATGGTCATTGTACGAATCCCCTCATAATCTACCTTTCGAGTAACTGACTAACATTAACCTCCTTGACAGATCTGCGCCACTATCTCGCTCTACAATGGCATCGAGTTACTTGCTCTGATTTTCACCTCATCTAGGAGACGCAGCGATTTGTATTTCTGGAGTCTCACTGCTGCTTCTATCGGTATCCTGCCATACGCGGCTGGCTGGTTGATCCGCTACCTTGACATCGTTGGCGACGTACCGGACATGATCATCAACGATATCGGATGGATGCTCGTGACTACTGGTCAAGCACTTGTCCTGTACTCCCGACTTGTACTACTTGTCAAGAACCCGACAGTTTTGTGTTTTACCAAGTGGATGATTATTATCAACGCTGCCATTTGGCACAGTGCAATCACTGTTCTCATCTTCGCCATTGGCCATAAACAGAGACTCGACCGCAATGCTGCATATATTAGGGTCGAAAAGGTCCAAATGACAGTATTCTGCGTACAGAATTTTGTCCTATCTGGTATATATCTATGGAAAACGACCAAGATCATAAGAACGAAGGATCCGCAATACCGAACTAGCCGTGTCCTATGGCATCTTGTTTTCATCAACGTACTGCTCATACTCATCGACGTCGCTCTGCTCGCAGTTGGCTTTACCAACAATCCTCTTTGGCAGCAAGGCGTAAAGGCAGTCGGATATTCAGTCAAACTCAAGCTCGAATTTGCGATCCTTGGGAAGCTTAGCGATTATCTTTATAAAGGAGGGGAACTGGTGATTGACTCTCCCATGTTTGGATTCGTGGAAATGGAGCCTGAGCCTCCATCAAAATCAAGACCAGGGCAACCGATACCAGCTCCCGAGACAGCTCACTTTGAAAGTACCAGAAAGCCTTCAAGTGTCTCTGCTGCAGAGTCATCGCGACACCGGGAGTTTGTATCGGATGTAACGGTCGTTGACAAAGGCAAGGGTGTGATAAGGCGTACATTGGATAAGGGAAAAAGTAAATGTTCTGACGATTGCTGCAACAATGGTGTTCGGGCTTCGAGTTAGCATTATACCCATTTTTGTAATTGATGTTTTTTGTTTTGTATTATATGTTACTACCAAGTTTGTAGCTTACTCTTGCCTTTGTAAAAAAGAAAGCATTAATTTCGGGTAGATTGATTTGTTCTCTGTGACATTATCCCAACTCCTTGTCGCTACTCGTGCATGAATCATCTACTGCGCATCTATTTGCTACCCTGGATATGCCAATCAAACACCTTCATAAAGACTTCCTTTCCATCGCCTTCCAAAACATCTCCATGGCAAGGAATCATGGTAGTGAAGTCCCACTGAGCGATAACAGCCATGCTGTCGTTGAAGCTGTCACGGTTCTTGGCGAGCAAATACCAGTTGAAGCGCTGCAGCCACTTGGTGTCGCCACGGGGGTTCTGAACACAGGCGAAAAGCTTGCCGACAGCTCCATCATCAGGGAGCTCTGCTTCGGGGACCTTGCTGTACTGCTCAGTGGGTGGCAGGTTGAAGAGCAGATCAGCCTGAATCAAGACACGCTCGGGCTTGTAGCAAAAGACAATTTCGAGGTTGGCGTGGCCGTCGACGTATTCGTAGTCGAAATCGGCATCAAATTCCGGGTCGATCCTAGTCTCTCGCTTGGTCTCCTTGTTGAAGACTACAGCAAATTCCTCGTTACCAATCTTGGGGTCATCGGTCTGCTTGGCGCGCTTTTCAGGCAGACCCTCTGGGCCGATGATCTTGGCTGATGGGTATTCCTTTGCCCATTCTGAGATAAAGATGTGATGCTCATAGTCAAGGGCGACGATATAGCGAACATCGCCTCCCATCTCAATGACCTTGGCTTGCGTAGCTTTTGTGAGTGCTACTGGTGAGAAGACAGCAAGACCTCCAGAAGTAAGCTTGACTATAGAGTGTGTCAGTTTAGTGCAGCTTTATAATGAGTCGAGGCAAGAAGCATACCTAAAGTGCCTCGACCACCAATCTTGACCTTTCCAAAGCGTGAGAAGGGGACTGAGAAGGTTGCAATGTTGGGCGTGACATTGCGAATGACCATGACGTGGTCAGGGTCTGAAGGAATGAGCTTGGAAGACATTTCTGCAAAGATAGGTTCTTGTGAATGTGGTTGTGGTGAAGAAGTGAAACTGCGCTTTTGAACAGGAAAAGTAAGTGAAGTTGAAGTTGAAGATGCAACTCTTGGTTTTGAGGTTGGAGTTGAAGGATGTATGACGTTTAATCCAAGAGCACGTGAAAGTGTAAGAGACCTCTTTTGCAGCTGGAAGAATCTGGGCAATTCGTTGTTTAAGTTTCTGTTGATGGGGGCTGAGGAACGTATCATGACGAGGAATTAATAAGTAATAAGTACTAAGCTACTTCCTAGGTAGATGGGGGTCGTATGTTACCTATGTCAAGGCGGAGTTTCAATGCTGGCCATGACATCAACATTTATTATTAGCTATTAATTGTCATCCATTTCGGCCGATAAATCTTGCACGATTTCCTCGGTCATGGAATTACTGTCAAAAAGTCAATTAATTTTAGTTGGACCGGAAAAGTGGATGCTTTCCGAGTCCATTCATCATGTGAATGTCCTTAACAATGACTTGCATGTCGCCTGACTTATACGAATATATCAAATACACGAGAATCTCAAGTCTTGCACGATTAGAACAAATTCCAAATAAAAAAACGTCTTCTTTCTCTCCACTTCACTTTGCTTAATAATTCACTTTTGGGTTATCATTGATTCCACACCAAATTCTAGCTGACCCATTCGGCCAGTTCTTGAAACCCGAGAACCCGTCTTATGGTAGTTGTGTCAACCTCGGCATCGTCAACAGAACGGCCAATATTTCCACACCAGTCTAGGTCTGCCAAAACAATACGTTGGTATGAATCAGACTCGGATGAAACGGTAAAAGAACATGTTGATAATCTACCTCTGGGAGACTTGATGAAAGAAACTTAATAACTAAAGCAATAGAAAGCAATACTATCTGTTGACTCCTTAACCAGCTCATCTATCTTCAAGGAAATTGCAGCTGCTCAGCTGAGCCTTCAAGGTCCGCCAAATAAGGTCACTTTCACCTTATGTATACCAATCCTGAAAAGCGTCGTCAACACTAGGATCCCAGAATTAAAAAATTGACACACAACTACACACTCTTCCAGTATCCAGTCCTTCAAAGTTGTAATGCCGAGAGACCAGCACATAAACTCCACAAAGTTGCCAACACCCCGTATCAATCCTTGCTCTTCGCTGAGGCCCCAGACTGATACTTTCGATGACATGGCAGCTCTCTTCAACATGAGGGTCGATGCCATTCTGTTGGCCTCGAGCCACATGTTCCGTTCTCTCAGCAGAACCAAATAAACATTGTACGTTTTAACGTACAAGCAAAAGAACACAATCGTCAATATCATGGCAATTGCAGCGTTGATCAAGGAGGCATATGAGGGTAGCCGCTTGCCCACCTGTCGGTCCATCCACCTGTCGAAACGAAGACAATAGAAAGTAAGGACGGGAAATATAGCCGCCAACGATGAATCCGTTCCCCGTTTTTTAATAAAGGGCAGTCCCCAATAAAAGAAGACTATAAGCCAATACTGGAAAAAAGCCGATGCCTCGAAGCCTCTTGTCCTAGCCCTGAGGCCAGAGCTCTCTTGAGAATCTTGCGAATCTTGGGGCTGGGTTTGGGGTTTGGGCTCAGACTGGCTCTTCTTCGAACCGTCCCCGCTAGAAGAGAAACTACCTTCCTGGGTAGAACCCTTCTTGTCGGAAGAACCTTCCATTGGGGATGATTCTTGCACACGCTCTGGCTCATGAGGCTTTCCCTTGGGGCCAGCAGGCTCTGGAGCGTTTCCATACTCGGGAGAAACACGTTCTGGCGCATCCCACTGTGAACCTCCAACAAAGTCACTTTCGAATGAGTTGCCCATGCTACTGGACGGGGGAGAGCTTCCAAAAGAACGAGTTGGCCCTCCAAATGAGCTGGAACCAGCACGAGAGTTATGTTTCGATGGCGGAGGTTTGGTCTTGACTGATTCGAAATACATCACCGTCTGATGGAAATCGTGACGGTGCTTCTTCGTTGCATTTTGCCAGCATTCGAGCACGAATTTCGAAGAGGTTTCGTGCCCGAGTGAAGTTTTCATCTCCTTCTGACACATCTGCAACTCACTATTGCAGCGTGCGACTGCTGCACGGAGGAGCGCCACGATGCCACTCATACTATCAGGGTATTGGCTTGAACCCATGGTTGATGTGTTGAATCTGTATAGAGGCCCAGGGATAGGCGCGCTTGCCTTTGTAGGTGTACCTTGAATTGAACCATTCGATGAAACCGTGTCTGATGGGCCAGGTGACACTGGCGAAGTAAGTTTGGATGTACCAGTTGGGACGTTGTGATGTGAGGATGGTGATGGCGGCACTGATAATGACGATTTGACTTTGCCTGCTGTTGGTGGTGTATCAAGCATCGCTGGTACCTCACGTTGCTCTGTTTCCTCAGGTGAGGATGGGATATCCAGGTCTGGACCAGCACTGGCCCATGTTGTCACGTCAGTTTGATTGGTGTCGGCAGGCAGTCCTCGGTCAGGCGCCAACGACAAGTGAAGCTCTCCAATCTCCCGTTCCAATCCTTCCTTGGCATTCGTGAGTTCATTGACCATTTCTTGGAACTTGTCGTTCTTTTCACGAAGATCCTCGTTCGTCTCGTCCAGATCTCTGTTTTCGTCGACAAGCCTGCTGTTCCTGGCAGAAAGCTCGTCGAAGCTACGTCTCGGAACATAATCTTCATCTGCAAATGAATTTTTAGCGTTTGGTTCGTTATGAAGGGTATGGAACTCACCTTGCCATTCGTCTTCATCGTCATTCATGTTCTCCAAGCCAGATAGGTCGGTGTCATTGACCATAACCAGATTATCTTCATATTCTTGGTTGAGTTCCGAGGCAGTCTCGATCGACCCTCTCATCATAGGGTGTAAGTCATCGAATTTTCCATCTTTAAACGCTTCGTAATGTGATTGATTGCTTTTGGGCGATCGTGATTTTCTTGAGGCCGAAGGGTCCCTGGCTGGCGGTGATGCCTCAGGACTGGGGTGAGCAGATTGCTCTCTGAAAAAGTTTCTAGCAGGACTTATCGCGTATGAGCGAGCAGCAACATTCCTAGTAGCAGGCTCAACAATAGGCTCCAACTTCTGATTTTGCCTCTTGGGTGCAGCCTTACTAGGGCTAGATGTCAAGAAAACAGGTGTACGAGGGCTCTTCGTCTTTTTCGAGCGACGCTTGGCGGCCTCGAACGTTAACCCACCGCTACCCGGATTGACGCTTCTTCTCTCTTGAGTACCTCTCTTAGTTTGGGTTGACCCAGACATCATGTCTGACTGATCATTCATGCGTTTCTGGACCTTATCTTGAAAATTCTTCAATGCGACTTTAACCATGTTGGTCTCTTCTTTACTTATTTGAAGCTTGTGTTCATGGACTTTCATGACATCAAGTTGCGTTTTCCTCAGACGGGCTCCGAAATACTTGGCATCTTCGTGTTGTGACGCACTGCAGGTATGGAACATCGCTTCGATACTGTCTTTAGCCTTGGAATGAAGCATTCTCAAGACTGTCAGGGCCTGTTCTGGAAGATCAGGATGCATTTTCAGACACTCTTGTTCGTAAAAGTTGTCGAAGCTTGAATCAAGACTGGTCTTTTTCTTCTCCCATTTTTGCGTAGTTTCTTCTGATCGAGTTTTGGCATTCTGCAAAAATTGGCCGAAGCACTCATCTGCGGTGGCAGGCATGTTGGGTAGATGAACAAAAGGACAATAAGTGACGTATGATGATGTATTGGGGGATGATGTGTGCAAGAATGTAGAGAGCCCAGGAACGTAGTCCTAAAACCAAAGCTGCGTGAACCAGTTCACTTGTGTGGGCATAAAATCTTTTGAAAGAATGGGACACTTGGAACATGGACAGGAAAGCAGGTTGCAGACAAGAGGACAGGAGGGTATTATGAAGAGACGAGGAGAGCGTCCTCGAAGCTCGAAGGAGCCTTTGTTATTCATCCATCTTCTTTGATTCGAGTTCTTTCTTTGTTGGTATACGACATGCGCCAAAAATATACCGAGACCACACACCTCTTATCGTGCACAGGCACACTCTTTCACAAAGACAAAATGCCACCAACAGCACCAAGTCTATTCTATCGGTGCTCAAGGTAATGACGAGGCAAAGTGATGAACAAAGAAACCCTACCAAAAGTTTGCCATACTGACGCGTGGGACTAGCCGAAGTCGTGCCTGGCCTTTTGCAGCATCAAAGGTGTCTTGCTTGGGGGTTGCATGTCAATGGATCTGAAAGACTCGACATGTTCTTTCAACCTATTCACCTTGTCGTTTTTCAGCTGTACCATCCCCTAGCGCCGGGCCCTGAATTTGTTACATCCTTCCTGTGTGCGATCATGGGTTCTGTCAGGCCAAAAGTGTCTATGATGTCTTGCCAGGTCTCCATGTCCATGGATAAGATTGCCTGGTGCTTTGCTGCTCCGTGGCGTGTTGGCTCTTCTTCTTCTTCGACGTCCTCTCTATTGACCGGGGCTATAATACAACTTAGCGACATAAAGATAACTCCAGTAGCTGACTTACCTAGAGCGGGAAGGCCAAACTCGTCAAATTCGATTTCCACACGGCCATCTCGGATAAGGAAACTGACGTAGAACATGTTCTCTATAGTTTGGCCGAACGATTTAGGGTTCACAACGAAGCGCATCAAGTCGATGCCGCCAGTACTGCGGAGACCATACTGGTGCATGATTCTGTCCCTCTCTTCATCGTCCATATCGTCATTAATACTGTCCGATACGGTTTGTTGAAGGTGGGCTTGAATTCTTTGTAATTGATGGAGGATCTTGCTGCAGATTGCTGTGAGATCGTTCTCTTTGTGAGTCAAATCTTCGACATTGAGGACTTCCGGGCGAGTTTCTGTCAAGTTGTTTGGCCTGAACGGCGCACTTCGCTTGGCAATTTTTCGAGCTTTCTTCTCGACTGATAGGGGACCAAGAAGGAACCCAGGTAGAGCAGGGCGACGGATATACGGTAAGGCGGAAAACCGGCCAAGGTGAGGCCAGTTCATCATGTCACCGTCGTCGCCAATATCATCGTCCCCATTTTCGTCGGCTCTTGTAGTTCGTCTTCTCTGGCGTTGAGTGCTCGAAAGCTCGGGGGCATCGTCATCTATAATTCCTCTTCCATGTCTCATATACGTGATGCATTTTGACACAAACTCATCTACATCCACGCCTTGAGAAAGGCTTCCTTGAGTTAACCGCAAAGTCTTTCTATAAGACAGATCGGTCGTGCTGACAAGTAACCGTGAGTCTATCGTGGCTTCGGTCGTCTGCCGTACTTTCTTTGACAGTTCATTCGCACGAATAATAGTGTCGTAAATCCCACGCGAATCGGCTTGCAGGTACTCTTCCGTGTTCTCTGTCACTTCGCGGAGCAAGTCTCGGAATCCCTGTTGGACTTTACGACGCTCTTCCAATGGCTGGTCGGGGTCGTATATATCGTCATCATCACTGTCGTCGTGGCTGTCATGAGAAGGTTTAGCTGTCCGTCTTCTATGATTTGAGCTCTCGCCATTTTGTGTATCCGCTCGCTTTCGCTTTGACCCCGAAACAGAGCGACTGGATTCCCGTTCTCGCACGGTGAGGTCTCGATGCGATTGTGCTGCTCGTGGGGCTAGAGAAGGCGATCGTGACTGCGACTCTTCGTCTGAATCCCGCCTTCGAGTAGGCATCTGTGCGATGGGCTGAAAATGTGTTAAAAATGCAATGTAAATTTGACTGTCAGTTTAGTCTTGATGTGTGGATACACAGCATTGAATGACTAGCTAGTATCGTGTGATAATGTTCAAGATCGTACGAGACAAAGAGGTCGATGACACCCATGGAAGAAATCGCGTCTGTGTTAATAGAAATGGAAGACGCGACTGAAGGTACGTGTTTCCATTAAGCCCAGGGCCCACTCACAGTGCTAACAGAGGATACCTGGAGTGAACTGCGGGGCATCCCCAGCACTCAAGGTTCACACCAAAGGCGCTATTAACGCACCCGACCCGGCAGTTTCGTTGGGCTGGACCCTGAAATACAGATCAATCTAATGTCACATATAATAGTGATCCCATGAATTAATGGACTGGGTCGCCAGGGCCTTACCGATATATCACAAAAACATCACTTATATAAACAAACATTCAGATGGTTTCAAAGATAAGTTCTCAAAATCTCTAGTAACTTGATCGCTATAGAAATGCGTGACGCTATGATTGTTCTGTACAAAATCTTCATGGATGTCTTCATGACATAAACTACCATTTCCGTAAAATATATACTGTTTGAATGGAACCCCTTAATTACCTCCACCTCTGCCCTGCGGTCATAGTCTACCAGGTGAAACTTTCTTCTACAAAGTCCACCACGCTCGAGCCTTGCACCGCTCTGGCAGCTCCGCGAACATCGTCAGCAAGAGCGCCAGGTCCACATACTGTGACACACATGGCACCCATCTGCTCTTGAACTTCTCTTTCCAGAATAAGGGGAACGTTTGGTCGTCCTGGGAACATGCGCACCGTGGCGCTAGCACTGACAATATCGCGTGGGTTCTGAGGACGGGTGACGAAGATCTGGATACGGAGGACGTCTTTTCGATTGGGAATGCGGAGGATTGTGTCCATGTATGGTCGGACCCATTCGAGGGACTCGTATTCGCGGATGATCCAAACGAGTGTTATACGTCGAGTGGCAGTCGTACCTTGGTTGTATCCTTCGAGAAGGTGACGGATGTACGAGACTTGATGAGTAATTCCAGTCGACCCAGCAAAGAGGACTGCGTGGCCATAAGAGTCGAGACTGTGGTGTCCGGCATAGGGACCTTCCATGGCAGCTTTGGCGCGAAGGCCCCCGGGGTACTGAGCAGCACGGTCGTAGAGCTTCTTGGTGAAACCTGTCTGAGCTGCGATCAGAAAAGAAACACTCGTCGTCATAGTTGACTTGTCGACCGTGTTGGAACTTTCCTTCTCAGCAATGGGCAGGCTACTGTCACGAACGTGGTTGGTCCAGCAGATCGAGAAAGGGTGGCTTTCCCACGCGCAAACACCCCAGATGCGGAGGTAAGCGTGGGTGCCGGGCTCGATGTCCTTGTACCGTGGCAAGTGGAGGGTAACCCGAGTAACGTTGCCAGGCATAGCCTCACACACTGCCTCAGTCCAGCCCTTTGATGACCAGTTGACGGACAAAAGACGGAACATACGAGAGAGTCGGTCGCAGAACCAGATGGCCATGATGGCCATGATCCATGGGAGCTGGGGCAGACCTCCAGGAAGCGCAGAGGAGGCACAGTGAGCCCAGGTAGCAACGAAAGCCACAAAGGCCAAGATAATGTGGACGTTTAGGAATGTCTCGTAAAAGGCATGTCGTACAGGCGAGACGGAAAGCAGAGCGAGGAGGGTCATAGCCACCGTGCCCACGGCTCCCGAGCCGTAGAAGAGGATGCCAGTGATCTGACGACCAGCGCCATCCCAACCAAGGTCGTCTACGGCAGCAATGAGCCAGGCGACAGTGTGGATGATAGTCTCAAGAACAACAATGCGACCCATCCAACGATGGAGGAGGTTGTAAGTGTCAAAACTGATCTTGAGCCACGCAATAAGAGGGTTGTTGCGTCCAGCAAAGATAATCAAGGGCACCATGTTGACAAGTGCCAACGTTCCTGAACGGCCTCGTAGCTCAGCGCAAAAAGCAAACTTGTTCTCATTAGCCCAGTTGAGAACGAACATGTAAGCAAAGTTGCTGCCCAGGAGGATGAAAAGGATGGTGAAGTGAAGTCGCGATGGAAGAGTGCCCATGCTGATAGCAGAAGAGAGCCTGAACTCTCGGTTGTGACGTTTATTCCACAGGGGGGCGTAGATGATGTTCTTCTTCATGCCGGGCATCCATGACCACTGGGAGATCTTCCAGTACTCTTGCTTGTGCCCAGGCACGTTCATGGCCGACACATGGCGGAGTCTTGCCCATAGAATCTCAACGAATCTAATCCACAAAACAATGAGGGCCATGATTCCCAATGTCCACCACAGAACATCCTTAAATAGCATATTCATAGGTTGGTTAACACCGTCGAGATTGGAGTGGTAATTGGGAGTAGCTTCAGCATCTCCGTGAGCTGCTTCGGCACGAGATTTGAGTGTTGTCGTAGGTATATACGAGCTGATGTCGGCGATCCGGCGCCGTGTGAAATCCATTTTGTCGGCGTAGGCTCTCTGGGAGCGACGCGAGTAATGATCGGGTGAGCTTTTCTTATATGGGACTCTTTAGATGGGAAAGAAGGTGTGATTTGTCGTTGTTTGCTGTGAATGAATGATGAAACAAGGCGGTTGTGTGACTAATAAAGAATCCCAAACGAGCACGCAGAGACTGGTGGTGGTCTTTTAAAGAAAGTGAGTGTATGCTGTTCCTCCTTGTATTCGTTCTTTGGTGTCAGAACATGATCGTATCCAGGTGTTGATTTGGCGGTGGTATTGATAAATCGTGATCGACAAGCGGATTGTTCGGTAGTGACCTTGGTAATTTGGCGCTGTTGGAAGGGTGTTCAACACACAATGCAGCGAGCGAAAGAACAATGGGGACAAAAGAATCCGGGCAGAACAAGGGAGGCTTATTGACCAATGTCAACAATTCTCAATGACGTCTGAAATCTAAGCGCTGTTCACCTCGTCCACGAGGTAATGTTCTCGGTTGCAGCTAGAGGAAATCAGAACTAGCTGATGATATCTCTGGCTATTTTTGTTGTTCTGGCGGATTTGGATTTAGATCTGCAGTAAAGAACGGGTCGACTTCAATTGCCGCGAGTAAGTGAAAGTGAAGTAGAAAGGTTCAAGTTAAGTGAAGTTGAGGCAAGGGCGCTTGGAAGACAGTCCAGCGACAAGGAAGGTAGAGACAGGCGTACAGACGATCGACGTTTGGGCGCGTGTAGTAGGGCAGTGCAACGCAAGTCGCTTGTTGCAAGACAAAAAAAGGGTCTGATCTACCAGAGACAATCGTGACGTGACAAGACAATTCAGTCGGATCTGTAGGGGAAAAGGGCTGTTTTTGAATGTTTCAAGCCTTTCCGAGACCCAAGATCCAGGTAGAGAGACACGGATGAAGACGAAACGAAACGAGCAGCTGGCAAGCAGTGGCCGAGAACAATCGACGTCAGAAAAATGGAATGGCCAGCCTCAACGAAGAATGTATAGAAGGTCTCAAGGACAAACAAAGAAGAAGAAACAGGTAAGAAACTGAACAACCAGTATTGAGACCAGGAATGAAGGTAGGCAAGCCTACAAGGAGCAGACGTTGTGATAATATGTAAATGGATCGGTCTACTCCGCCCTCTTGTCAGCCCAGACTCCCTCACAAGCAAGCAAACAAAACTGAATTAGGTCTCGACTTGGCGCTGAAAGGATTTACTTGCTACCAGGTCCGTTGGGCCAGGATTCCTCCCTGTAGTACAAGTGGTACGTACAACGACAAGGGGCCCCTTACAGCTCTCTCCTGGCCTGGCTCCGTCCAACGAGTCAAGTTATCAAGACTCTGAGTGGCTACCAAATTCATCCGGAACCCCTTGCAAGGCGTGCTATATTTCTTGTTCCTGCCCGCATTGTTCGTGGAACCGAGAATTTATTCCAACTTTTCTGGATATGGTTCGATCATGTGCATCTCTACATATCTTGTGATGCTCTACAGAGAACAGCTGCACAATTTAACATGTACACGAGCGTATAAGCGCCTCTCCCATGGAGAAAACATGTGTTCTGTGCCTTATCTAGGAGCGCTCCCTTCGCTGGTTAGTGGTCAGTCAACCTTAATAGGCCCCGATCGCCTTTTGCCACGACAGGGGTAACCGCAGTAGTAACGGCGTGGCTGTTCAAGATATGGCCAATTGGATGAGAGATGTCGCTACCAGATCTCAGAGTTGGCCACTGACGGGAAAAAGAAGGTAACTTAGTGGCTGCTTGAGGAACCAGTTAGACCTCACCCTTGTCCACCTGTGCTCCTGAAACCAGCCACTACTTGGCCCTGGCTCGTGGAAGCAATTCCCAGACCCCTTTTGGAATGGCGACCAAGTTTTTTAGCTGTCTTCGTCAGGGGTGAGTGGCTGTCAACGGCCAGACTTGCTGCAAGAATACGGGTATTGAGCCGTTGCAGCGCTTGCGAGCCAGTCAATGCCCCATAAGACTGCCGCCAAGAGTTGGAGGATTCTCAACGTCGACTCCTCAGAGGCATCCAGTTGAAAATGGAAATGGAATGTTTCTACGTAGATACTCCGTACTTGTCTCAGGAACTGGCGGCATCACATCACCGCTACACCACAGATGTGCAGTATAACTTGTTTCTATGTTTCCTGTTTTATGTTTGGATAAACATATTTTGTTCCCGCCTTCCCGTTCTTCGTCGCCTGACACAAACTCGAGCTAGGCGGACGAAAACGAACTGACTGAAACAACCTATCCACTACCATACGGGAAACTCGGAGTGACTCGATCATGCGAGCATAAGATGAATAATCGCCGCACCCACAATCGTTACTTCCAAGATGACGAGAAGAGTTTTATAATTACTCGATATTTTTATGGTCGGTTAAGCATTGTCAGATTGCCAGCATGGAACACAAGCCTCAAAGACAGGGTAAAAACTAACATGGACCCTGGTAGACATCGTGGTCCAGGGTCAAAGGCGGCCCGCAATCTTATAATTCCCG